ATTTTTGTCTAGTCTAGCCCACTGCGGTGTGTGTGTGTGTAATTTTTGGCAGGGCGACAGTGTGCGTGTGTGTATATATATATATATATGTGTGTGTATATATATAAATATAAATATAATTTTTGTCTAGTCTAGCCCACTGCGGGGCCGGCCCTCCGGAGGATGGAGAGTTATGTAAGAAACCAGTGAAAAGAAGCTCATTCATTGACGCTGTACGCTGCTAACACCGTTTTATTTCGTCTCGGTCGCCCTACCGGGTGACGTCCCTATCCCTATATTACACATCAGGAAACAGGCTCAAAGGGGTTTAGTCGGGATCCGGAGTTAAATCTGGGGTTTGGCCGGTTCCTGCAACAGGATGTCACGGTTAGGGGGAAAGGAGCCTTCGAGGCCCGTCTTCCCACCTCTGCGCCTTACGATAAAGAAACGGCCCGCGAGGAAACCTGCGTGCACAGGATCCTGCGGCAAAGCCTGCACTGGGGGTCTCCGAACACCCAGCCTCCGGGCAGCTCCAGGCCCGTGGACCGGCGTCGCCCCTTGGGCTTCTTCCTGAGAAACTCGGAGCCCTGCTTGATGCTGCGGTGTCCGGCATTGGGCCGCGAACCCCGAAGATTCGGATGGTTCACGCCCACCAGTGGCTCCGCGGGAGAAAGACGGGGAGAAGGACGCAACCCCGTGGGGCCCCTCTGCTTGGGAGCAGACCCAAGGGCAGGAGGTTTGCTTGGGGGTTTTCCTTAGGACCCCCCTGCCCCTCCTCTTCCCTGAAATGTTACACCGACGTTAAGCTAATTTCACTAGTCTGCGCCAAGACGAGCTAAGGAAAGGTTGGAATGGAACACGATTGTTGTCCTAAGCGAGGCCGGCCTCCCAGCAGATGGATGCTCTCAGTCGGCCTGCAGACTGGGGCTCGCTCCGACAGCGCCCTGGCGAACGGAGCCCAACGTGGCTCTTCGTCCACGTCCAGGTCAGTGCCGCTCAGACTCAAGCCCAACCTGGGGCCCTGGAGAAGGCCTTTCCCACTCAGACCAATCAAGGTAGCCCAGTCCCAGGGATCCTGACGGCTCCATTCACTTCTTTCTTCAGTGGATGAGAGCCCTAATCCCTGTTCTTACGCCTAGGTGTTAAAATGCTCCCAGATGTTCAAATAGCCCCAGATGTTCAAATGCCCTTCACTTTTCTGAAGTAAGAAATGTGGCTATTTGGGGAACTTCAGTCTTTGTAATAAATTTGGCTTCACCTCTTTATAATCTAAGGATAGACAAAAAGGTTTTCACCCATAATGACTTAAAAATCTTTTTTCTTTGAATTTTACGAACAAGAATTTTTGCTTTGCTCCTGTTGCTCCCCCACACCCAGCAGCATGGGTCTGCCTTCGGGCACCTCTGGGGGGGTTGGCTGGGACCGGAGTGTTGCGGAAGTCCCTTGCTGCTTCAATTCCTGTTCTAAGTACTTATGTGGACCCCTCAAGGCCACCGTGCTGTCCTGACACGTCCCCTC